GTCAGGCTGAACACAACCGAGTAGTTAATAACAGCGTTAACTAGACACACACGAGTACACACACCACATTCAGGTTTTAAAGAGCTACTGTGGCAATTCAGTATTGAATTTCAGTGAAGTTGAGGGACTTCAGAGGGGCAGAATGCTTGAAATGAGGTTGAGATCCTGACTTTCAATCCCTGGGTCCTACATTTCCCATAAGGAGCCAAAACAACATACTACAAGTATTACTATTATCACGGCAGTCAGTTCTTCCCGTACAGAACAAACATCAATGATCATGTTGTAGCTGGTGTAACTAGAGAGGAGTAGAGTTGTGTTAAAAAAAAGGTGATGAAATAATAGCAGGTTCCGGTTTCAGTGTGGTGACAGTACTCACTAAATCACCTATTCATTAATTATTGTCTCTGGCTGTGCTGAATAAATTAACACAACTGGATGTCACTCCTGGACATTTAACGAGTCCTTGCTTGACTTCTGAGCATCCAGAACCCAAATCTTAGAAATCCATAGTATGTATAAAACAGCAGTAGATGAGATAAGTAACTTTAGTTCTAGTAAAATACTCAAACCGGAGTCGAACTACCTTGGCAAGTAACACGACAATACAATTTAATTCAGTAAAACAGAAAGAAAAAAACTGAGCAAGAGATACAAAGAAAGCAAATAATCATTCAGCGAATTGACGTCAACTATAAAGCAACTATGTGGAACAAGTGTTTAATCAATACTGAGAGAGCGTGTGTGTCCAGAGTTGTGATATGTGATATGTAAATGTTGTCATTGATTTATTACGACATACGCTCTCATCGTAACTGTGAAGCAGATAGTGACAGCCACTCTGTGAATGGAGGAAGTATTGTGAGACATCTCACAGATATCACACACACACACATTTCTTTGCTCTGTTAGTCCCGACGCTGCCGGCCTTTAAAATATTCCTTTCAAAAAGATTATCAGCTGTATAATTACTCAATCTGAACTAAGCGTTAATTATTCCCCTCTTCCATGGAAACTGTGGTGTAATGTTTCTCTGTGACAACTTTCAGAAGGCGTGAATTAAACATAATGTTCTGCTGTCATGTATGTGTGCAGCAGTGGGATGTTCCCTCGCAGCCAACTGGAAGGTGTCGGTCCAGCGAGGGGGCATTTTCAGTCCTCACCAAGTCGTACAGTACACAACTCCAGGCCTCAGTGCGATGACTAACCGCTCGGTAAATACTTTCAGTTTGAACAGTGGCACTCGGTGGCCGCTCGGCTTCGCTGAGAAAGTGACGCTGGCGAGCAGAATCGACAAAAAACAAGTCAACAAACAATATTTGTAACAACAATAACTGCTGCCAAGTGTCTTCCCGAGGAAAAAAAAAGAGACAAAAAAAGTTGTGGGAAGGAAGATTAAGTCATTACATGAGTTTAATGGAGGAGTTGCGCTGTGTATAATGTAATATGAAAGATCAAAACTCTTTGGATTAAATCAGAAATTACCACACTGCTGTACCTAGTAGAAATAGAAAATAGAAATAGTAATATCTGTTAAATGATCATAACCTTGATAGTAATAAATGTACCAATGTTGTGTTATTTACTACATCAGGGCATCATAATTCCTTCCTGTCTGCTCAGGTTTTATGTAATTTCATGCAACAACATCAATATAAAAACTGCAATATCAGGCAGCTTCTGGAGTTTTTGGTATCATCATTACCTGTGGTTGCATTGTCATATAACACAACCCACACCTAGTACCGATCGGTTGTATCAGGGCTCGCCCCGTTTGAATGGTATTGGCTAAAATGGAGCCGGATCAAAAACCTGATCCTTTTCTTTATCTTTATCTTTGTCCACCTCAGTCTGCTGATGTTACAGCGCCTCTCTTCCTCCTCACAGCCGGGCCTCTACGGCGCAGCATTTCACTGCATATGTGCGAGTGAAAATTAGACTGTGTGAATGTGAGAAAGGATGTGGTTGAACTGGTGCGACTGGGCTACGAGTTCAGACACCGATGGTTGCCAAAATTCATAAATTAACAAGGGCTCAGACGCTAACAGTTGTGTTACATTCCCTCCTATAAGCAAAACGGCAGCTTCTCATCTTCATCCGGCACAAACAGGACAAAATATAAACTCTGGTTAAAACTGATTTGTACAGAAAAAGCTTTTTTTAACGTGTTGTACTTTGCATAAGCCGTGCAGACTCTGATTATCCTCCAGTAAAAACTGTCTACATTCTCAAAAGACATAGGAGCAGCCAGCGATGAGCCCAACCAGGTCAACCATATGTCACCGTTCAAAGAGAAACTTTTAATTAAAACGTCTGCCGGGGCGACAAAATGGGTCATTCCTAAAATCAGACATATAACAATAAAAAAAAAACTCACATCCTGTCGCGTTTTAAAGCAGGTGAGCAAAAAAGGTTTCTTATTTTAGACAGAATCATCTATGGGATCAGACACATTAAAGGTTTCTGTCTCACGTCAATGACGCAGCGGAGGAGTCCCAGGAAGAGGAGTCACTGTACAGTACACATACAATACTGTTTGTTCCTGAAGGTTGTTGTGTACTGAGAACACCAGCCAGTCATACCCACGTCCCCCGCTGCTGACGTCAACACCTGAGACTCTCCACGAGCCGCTGGTGAAAACCCCCAACATCCAAGGGGGGGAGTGCAATGCAGTCAAGGCCGTTTTCCAGAGGACACCGAGAGCCTGGCCGCCACCTATCAGATTAATCACCGCTGACTCATAAAACAACCGTGATGGATGGGGAAGCTGCAGACGATCCACCTCCTCCAACCCCATCGGGTCCCCGGCAAACTCCGGGCGAGCTAAAGTCACATATCGTGCTACACGGGACAACTTCAACTCGTCAACTACACTTCCTTTCACGAAGCTTGACTCTGCAACTGAGGTAAATATCACCCAGAATAAACACAGTGGTGGATACTTTAAAGAAGCACCCCCCCCGACACTCTCACTGTGTTATATCATCCATCTGTGATGTGCCATGCTTTTGTCATCAACTTGGTATACCCACTTTCTCGTCTGCTTTCCACTTCAGTCAGTGATTCCCTCGCGTCTCCCAGAATGCCTTTCAAGCAGCCCCCAGAGAGTGGGCGTGAACTTGTTGATTTCACTCAAAAAAGGTAGGCGTACATCGGCATGCAAACAGCTTGAAAAGTGCGATCACTTTTGGCTGTAGGGGATCCATAATGGCAGCTATGCCCCGTACTCTAACACACAACATGTGCTGTGGCTGCAGTCTGGGTCTGTGGAGGCTGCTGTGGATGAGCTCTCTCCTCCTCCTCTGCACCCGGGCGTTAATGTTAAATGATGATGTGCGAAGAAGAAGAAGAAGAAGAAGAAGGCTCTGCTCTTTGATTTGAGAGGAGCTGACGCAGAAATCTTACATTTATTGTCGATGGTTTGTTCGATTAATCGGCTCACTCGATGGAGAAGATCGATCTGCGACGAGTCTTTTTTATCGAGGAGCCTTTAAAATGTGATGATTTGCTGCTTCTCTCTGTTTAATAAATAAAAATAAATAGAAATAACTTGCATCTCTACTCTGTTTTATCTCACTATAAATGTAACATCTTAGTTGAGTTGAGTTTTGGAGACATTAGCTTGGTCTCTGGGACACTTTTTCACTATTTCTGACGTTTTATAGACTAAACGATCAATCGATTAATTGCAAACATAATCCAAAGTTTAATTCGCGTGGCAGCCCTAAATAAAACATTTCCTGTCACCAAACTACAGAGAGGCTGAGATGTGGAGACGTTAGGTCATCCAGGTTTACGGTTAACGAATGAATCACGTTGTTTACTGTAAGAAAATGCTAAACATCCACTTCCTCCAGCTTCTTAAATGAGAGAAATTTCAGCCTCTGTTTTATATGATCATACATTTAATATCTTTAAACATGGCGTCGGGTTTTGGGAAACTGTGACAGACATTTTTCTCGATTACTGACATTTTACTGACAAAACAATGAGTCGAAAAAGTAACTGACAGATTGATCGGTTAAGGAAATAGTTATTTTTTTTGCAGTCGATCTTTAAACCCTGCAACCAAACGTCAGTGAAGCTGCTGGATTCTACATCCTCCATGTTTATTCACAATAATACAGCAGTGAGACTCAGACTGAATCCAAATTTTAAGTTTCCCTGAGTCACTTTTACTGAAAGTCAAGTATCACACCAGAGTTTTTACTCTTTTAACTCTCAAGTGTGTCAATTATAGAGGACGGGAAGCACTTCTCTAATGTACCCTCACTTCAATAACCCCCCCCGGTGAGGGCAGGTGTAGGTGTGCAGCTCTAAAAAATCCTCACACACACACACACACACACACACACACACACACAAACACACACGAACCCTGCAACCATATGCAAGGTGATATCATCCACAAACACAGCACCTACACACACACCTACACACACACACACACACACACACACACAGTAAGTTAGGTAAGGCCAGCCAACACCTGTGAGCCCATGAGGCAGCGGTGCAGAGGTGGGGGGGGGGTTAGTTGTGCATTAGCATCATGCATTTGCATTCATGAGGCAATTATGCTCACATTGGAGCCAGTCATGTGTGTGTTTGTGTTTGTGCGTGTGTGATCTCTAATGTAGCACACACACACACACACACACACACACACACACACAATTGCATACAAAAACCACACATTTATTCCTTCTTTGTTTTGTTTTAAAGCTGCTAGGTGAGTCCATACGTATGGCTGATGCTTGCTTGCTTGCTGCATTCACAGTGAGACACAAAATGGGAGGGTTTTTATGTGTGTGTGTGTGTGTGTGTGTGTGTGTGTGTTGCATTATGCCGAGGCGTTACTGTATTGTATGTATATGGCTGGCAGCAGATGAGAGACAGCACAAACCCTGTTCGCCTTGTCCAACTAAAAACACACTGCAGCAACCACAAACACCGAGCAGAAACAAATAGGAAGGCAGCAGCGTAAGAAATAAAACAAATACCTGATTTTCTTTTACGCAGGGGGCTCCACAGAGAGGATGCTGATCCTATAGATGCGGCACCCGTCACCATTTTCCCCCCCTTTTTTTTTAAAAAGAAACGGAGAATAAAAAAAACAGTGTCAACTAAAATGTGGTGGTAGATAATATATCTCTTCCTCCCCCTTTCCTCTCCTCTTCTCAATAAATCAATGGAGGCTCAACAATAAAGCGCAAACATTGCAGTGCCACACATGCGCCCTAGCAGGGGGAAAATGTGGCATCATTGACGCCTTTAAGTTAACATTACCCGTCAGGAATAATAATAAAAAATGACATTGATGATATAAAACACTCACATACCCTCCTCTTCCTCTTCCTCTTCTCCCCCCCTGTTAACCAATATGTGTCTTTGAAGTTACGCAGGGTTTAAAACGTTTGTATACGTGTCTCAAACAAGTGCTCAGTAGAAATACATATTATTTTTTTTTACCTGCTTTCTCCTTTTTGTCGTCTTCGCTTGTGTCCTGTTGTGATTCCTGGACTGTTAAAGAAAATGTCACCTTACATTTTTCATTGTAATTCCCACGTCTGGAAGAGGAAAATTGATTTAGCCGCAGTGAAGCCTCGCTCGCTTGTCTTCCAAAAAAAATAAATAATAAAATAAAAAATAACACAACGAAAGCGTATAAAATCAGAAAAGAGGTTTTAGAAAAAGAAAAAAGAAGATATATCTCGATGTTATTTAGAGTTTCAGTCTCCCCGTTGATGCTCTAACGGCTCCCACATACGACGCTGACGTTGCTCCCTCTGCCTCCCCAACGGAAACTGCTCTCACTGAGGTCCGCCGCGCTCCCGTGGTCGAACTCATTGATTGGCTCTTGCCCACGTTCGCGTTCCTTCAAGTGCGGGGAAGTGAGCGAACCAATCAGCGGGCGCGGATGGCTCTCGTCCTCGGCTCTGATTGGACGAGCCGCGTTCGAAACCGTTGGTAAATTCCCGGCACAGGCGCGCACCTGTGGCTGCTTACTGTTAACTGTGAAATATTAATGCGCTGACCGGTAGTGCGGCGTTTCTCAAAAATGTTAATGCGCTGACCGAAAGTGATTAGTCACCTCTGTTAGGAACTATATTGCTTAGCAGAAACATGACAGCAAGTCGTATATTTTTCATATCTCACTGAATATATTTTTTATTTTATTTTAAATATATATATTTTTTATATTTTTGTTAAATCACAACACAAAACCCTATTTGCTTTCAGTAGCTAACGTTACAAAGGCTAAAGTTTAGCTAGCTAACTTACGACCCCAGTTTTGTAAGATTTTACTTTTTTACTTGTTTTTAATCTCTTTTTTTTTTAATCAGGCTTTTCACCTTCAATAAAGCTTATTGTCCTGAGCATGCTCGGGATTTTGGATTCAACATGGAGTTATCTAACGACTAACAGCTAGCTAATGGTGAGAATTTGTTAGCCTCCAACAGCCTACGATAGTACGACGAAGTATTAGGGTCATACTCCGAGAAAAATATATTTATGGGGGGGAAATTACGAGAATAAAGTCATAATATTAGGTCTACGAGAATAAAGTCGTAATATTAGGTCTACGAGAATAAAGTCTTAACATTACGAGAATAAAGTCGTAACATTACGTGAATAAAGTCGTAACATTACGAGAATAAAGTTGTAATATTACGAAAATAAAGTCGTAATATTGCGAGAATAAAGTCGTAATATTAGGTCTACGAGAATAAAGTCGTAACATTACAGGAATAAAGTCGTGACATTACGAGAATGAAGTCGTAATATTACGAGAATAAAGTCGTGACATTACAAAAAACTAAATTAAGTAAAGTCGTAATATTACGAGAATAAAGTCGTAATATTACGAGAATAAAGTCATAATATTACGAGAGTAAAGTCATAATATTAGGTCTACGAGAATAAAGTCGTAATATTACGAGATTAAAGTCATAATATTGCGAGAATAAAGTCGTAATATTAGGTCTACGAGAATAAAGTCGTGACATTACGAGAATAAAGTCGTAATATTACGAGAATAAAGTCGTAACATTACAAGAATAAAGTCGTAATATTACGAGAATAAAGTCGTAATATTAAGAGAGTAAAGTCATAATATTAGGTCTACGAGAATAAAGTCGTAATATTACGAGATTAAAGTCATAATATTGCGAGAATAAAGTCGTAATATTAGGTCTACGAGAATAAAGTTGTGACATTACGAGAATAAAGTCGTAATATTACGAGAGTAAAGTCGTAATATTACGAGAATAAAGTCGTAACATTACGAGAATAAAGTCGTAACATTACAGGAATAAAGTCATAATATTACGAGAATAAAGTCGTAATATTACGAGAGTAAAGTCATAATATTAGGTCTACGAGAATAAAGTCGTGACATTACAAGAATAAAGTCATAATATTACAAGAATAAAGTCATAATATTAGGTCTACGAGAATAAAGTTGTGACATTACGAGAATAAAGTCGCAATATTACGAGAGTAAAGTCGTAATATTACAAGAATAAAGTCGTAACATTACAGGAATAAAGTCATAATATTACGAGAATAAAGTCGTAATATTAGGTCTACGAGAATAAAGTCGTAACATTACGAGAATAAAGTCGTAATAAAAATAAATATACGAGAATAAAGTCATAATATTAGGTCTACGAGAATAAAGTCTTAACATTACGAGAATAAAGTCGTAATATTACGAGAATAAAGTCGTAATATTGTGAGAATAAAGTCGTAATATTACGAGAATAAAGCCATAATATTGCGAGAATAAAGCCATAATATTAGGTCTACGAGAATAAAGTCGTAACATTACGAGAATAAAGTCATAATATTAAGAGAATAAATTTTTTTTTTCTTAGTTTGGCCCTAATACTCGGCCCCAGTACAATAGCAAGAGAGGTTGTGATTGTAGTTTATTTTCATCCATTTGCTTGACGTCCGAACTAAGTCACAGTCTGGTTTAACATTTTAATGCAGTAACTGAATATTCAGTAGGAATATTTTACATTTTGACGGGTAAAATGAGTTAGCTAGCCGTCTAAAGATAAAAACAGCTGATTCTAAGACAACAAAAAAAACACATCAATTCCTATTTTCAGGTGATTATACACTAATAAAAACATACCTATGAATATTATATTCCATTTCTGAAATTTAAATGTCATTTTTTAATGCTAAACTGGAGGCAGAAATCTCAGAATATCAGTATAAAAGTAAAAAACACCATCTGCATGATAGTAGAGTAAGAAAATACAATGTATTATAACTGTAAACGTATAATCATCTATTATGGTAATTGACTTTAGGTGTGTGAACTCTCTTCGGTGAATAAATATGAGCCTTAATATGAATTTAGGTGAGAGTGTTTGCCCTCCCCTTCCTCCCTGCTTGGAGCTGTTCAATGGCTGCTTGATGAATGGGAGGAAAGAGGGAGGATGGAGGATGAAGAAGCGCCAAGTGATAATGCGGTGTCATCAGTTACCTTGACAACCGCAGCCTGTGCATCTAATGTGTTAATTATGATTATTTATTTTTTTGCCAGGAAATTAGCAGAGGCTTGTTCCCTGCGCTTGGCCCGGCCTCTGTAGCCCGGGCCTTTTGCCTCCATCGCTCACTGCCGACTTCCAACAACAAGAGAGAGAAAAATATAATATGCAAATCTCTACAGCGCTCAAGCTCTGGGTTACGTTCCCCCAGCAATGACTAGGTAGACTCGATGCAAAAAGCAACAGCAGCTGTTATATTGGACAGAACATTAACTAAAAAGTCTGCTAATTGTGGTTGGAAAATGACCATAAAGAGCACGACAGATGTTTAAATCCTGAGATAAAGATGCTATGGAGTGTTTTTCTTTTTAAGCAGCAGCAGAACTGTCGGGTTTGTAACATGCACACGGGCATGTCAGCGGAAAATAACAGATCAAATATGTGACCGCACAGGTCAGCAGGCAGTAAATAAAGCAAAGTGTTTTCATGTCAACGCCTGTGAGTGTTTCAGCCTCTTCCCTGTGATTGTAATGCACACGGTGGCTGGGCTTTAAAGGTTTAGAGTGAACTGGATGTCCCCCCTCGCAAAGCTTCATCCTTTACTTACTGCGTGTCCTCATTTGTATTACACACGTGTGTGTCGTTGAATCTTTATTTTGTGGTTCACCCCCTGAAGTGTTCGCTCTACCTGGTGGGCTCACAACCTCCAATATGAATTAAATCAATGACGTTGTCTTAGATTTTAACATATGTACCCTCCCCCCGATGCATCAGTCAGTCAGTGACCCTCTGTGATGTCCTCTCATCTTATGAAGGGTTCCTCTCCGGCTAACATGGAATTGGATTCATTTTGAGCGTTTTATTTATTCATGCAAATGAATTCTTTATTTAAAGGCATAATGCGTCCCCGAGTTTCTCTCACGGTTGAATAAGTCCAACCAGGGATGTAGCAAAGGATTTTTAGAGATATACTGTGGTGCTATAGTACGGTACAAGCACAGTTTTAGACAGATTTATATATATACATATATAATAATGACCAACTGGTAGACTAATACTTTCAGAATTTGATCATTTTTTAAACTCATTTCTTAAAGAATTACCTTTTAATATACATGTCACAAAAAACCCTGCAGGGAAAGAAATAGACCCCTTTAAGGAAGGTTGGTGATATAAAGTATATTAATCAGTTCATTTTATGTTAATTAAATGTGGTACTCACCACAATTCAAAAAAAGAACCAGATACAGAATATGTCTGCACATTATTGTCACTAAAATAGATATTTATACATCCACATCCCCTAAAACACAAAGGACACGACCTCGCAGTGTCCTCAGTGGTTGCTGCTATGCCCTGAGTGCCTGGTAACCTGCCCAAAAAATGTCATCATGGTGGGCAGTGTGTGTGTCCCATAGTCTCTCTGTTACAGTTTAGCTCACCCAGAACACTTATAATACTTTAATACTCAGTATACTATAAACCTTCTGAGGCACATATTGATGAACAAACTGCAGTATATAAGGAACATTCACTAGATAAAGTGGCGCTCCTCAGATTCTTTGAGTCGAAACCTCTCCAGTTTGACTCTTGGCAGCTTCCAAGTTATCATCCATTTTCATGCAGATGAATATTTGATTCCAAGTCTGTAGGTTTTTCCGTGGAAAGAGCGGCGCTGACCTGAGTTCAGCAGAAACACTGTGGAGGAATCGCAGATGGAGAAGCTACATGTTGGTCTCTCTCTGCAGAAATAGCCAGAGGAGTTGGCACACATCTACCCAACCGTTTGCCAGCTGTTCCCTCACCAAAAGACAACTCTGGTAATCCTTTAATATATGTCTCACATTATTATACACACACACACATCACAGCGTAAAGACGAGGCACGTTTCAGTGTAAAGGAGAAGCACTGGAGGTCCCTGCAGGTGTGTCATAACAGTGTTAATGATTTCACCACCACAAAAGCTTCAAGTATCAATAGATCAATACCTTCACTAAACTTACAATCGATGCACTGCCGGAGATCGTTTCTGTGCAGCGCGCTAAATTAAACATGTGGGGGGTGTCTGTGTGTGTGTGTGTGTGTGTGTGTGTGTGTTTGTGTGTGTGTGTGTGTTCAGACCTCACCTTTTAAGTGCACATTAGATTTTGATTAAAAACGTTCATTTATCTCGACAGATTTGGCTTCAATTGTCAGCATTAATCATTTATTGCATTCATGAATAATTAATGACGAGGCATTTCGCTGGTCACATTCTTTAAAGGAAATCTATGTTCATCAGTTGATTGTATTGAAACAAAGCTGTCACTAAACCCACAGTGCGACAGGAAACCTGAAACTTAAAAACCACCGTA